CCCAGAAGGAGAAGAAGGCCAGCAATAGCTGTGACCCCATGCCCTGATTTGGATAGTTTTGAAAGTTAACCTGAAGCAACCATTCACCCTAGAGTTTTTCTTACGGAAAACTCCCACTGCCCTCCAAACCACCATTCCAACTCAGGTGAAATGAGGCTGCATGTCTTCACCACAGCAAGCTTTCTGACCTTTTGGGTGGAAGCGCAGGTCAGCACCCAGGAGTGCTAAATCTTTTCTGCAGGAGTTAGAAGGCAGGTATCACACTGTACGGTGTTGGCTATCAGCTGATTTCTTCCGTCACTGTCTGACCTGTCCCACTGCATCTCAGACATCCTCTGCAGGTTTCCTGACTTGCATACCAATATATGAAATGCATAAAACTAGACCTCAGAAAGTACGGTCCTAAGTTTTACTCATCTTTGGCTCAGATGGTATCAGTGGAAAGACTGTCAAGCAGCTCCACCTTCAGGAGAGGTCTTTTGTTCAGTTTTAAAGAGCTGCTGCTTTGCCTTGCAGATGCCATTGTTGGAAACACTCGTCTATAGAAACACAAGAAAACAAGGACCTAGAGTCCAGGCCAGCAGCCCCTTTCTATTGCAGACAGCCGTCTCACCTACCTCCTTTCAGAAACTAGCATTTCATGTCCTTCTCAAAACTGGCTTTTTGCCAGAACAGCACGCACACCTTGAGAATCTCACTGCCCTGCTGTGAAGTTTTGCCTTGTGCTCCTGCTCTAAATGCGCTTGTGGTCAGTGTTGACTTATGTTTGTGCTAACAAACATTACCATTTGTCTTAACTAGCAACAGTAAAGTAGGTCAATCTGCACTGCTCCTCCTCCTTATGTTTTTCTCTTAATAAAATCACCTGTTGGCTTTTGATTCATTGGGCTACAACATGGAAAAAAATTTAAGTCTTCAGCTTGGTCACAAGTAGAAGACTAAAGTCACAGCCCTTCTCTGCATGTACGAGGTTGAATTAATCTTTCTTTCCCAACAAGGATGAGTGATTGTTTAGTAGACTGATAGACTGCAGTATTTCAGGCGAGGCCTCAAAAGCCCCATTCAGTTCCAGCAGCCATCGCTTCCTGACCCCTGAAGTGCCTGGCCTGTGTCACCTTCGTAGCCATGTCACACTGATGGCAGGGTAACCGAGCCACCAGCCAATACACTTATTTTTCTTCTCATATTTCTAACTGATAAAAACAATAGCTGACACCAAAAATACAAGTCCCTTACCATGGTGTTGGTGTATTAAAATCCCAGCATGCAAGTTCTTCAAATATAATACCGATCCTTCTCTAAACTCATGTTGTCTGACAGCTTACCTTCATTAACAAGTTTTGTTAATGCACTTGCATTTTTCATATAAATTAATAAAACTGATAAATAAGACCAGTCCCAAGAACTATCTTAAAGGAACTCTACTCCAGAAGCAGCAAGCCAAGGAAGAGTAGATGCAGCCTGTGGGATCCATGCTTTGCCTTCTGCCTCTGCTAATATAGGGTGCTACATGCAAGATCCATTATTGACCAGCTCACCGTAAGGCTTTTAACTCTGTTGATCACTAGAGGATCAAATGGAGCCACTATTGCGCTAATCAGAATGAATTTGATCTCATAAACGGTCATGCATACAGCAGACTGACAATACCTTCTTTAAAATACTCAGCTATTTGGTACGCTATGTTGGCGAGAACTGCTGTTATTCTGTTTAAGAGGCAGGTAGCCAAAATAAAAACAATGCATATGTTTTCAAAGATAACTGAGGCCTCTACCTTCCCTCGATTCCAATATTCATTAAATACCTAGGTGCTCTTCAAGACGCTAGTAGGCAAAATACCTTGCTAATGCGTTATACTGTAAAAGTTACACAGTTTATGTGGGATTAGAAGATGGGCATCCAGTTTATGTTCCTGATATTTACAGAATCACATTCTTTTCACATGTAGGACAGCACAGTGTACACACCGCTCATGTGGCCCTTCTAACTCTGAATGTGAAATTCAGACAAGTTCAAAGCAAAAAACTACATTGTACATGTTTTGGCCTCTGGTACATAAACAAAAAGGGAAACACAAAAAGGGAAACACGGAGTCACAGTTGCAACTTGCCTGTCAGAACACCAGAACAGCAGAAACTAGAAATTAGAAACACAGGCACTAAAGCAAGCTCTTAGGTCAGAGCTTAAGTGCAGCATCACCACGTTCTGCTTCATTAATACCTTCACTTTGTCCTTTATATGCATTTTGCAGAGGAAGGAGTGAAAATTCTGATCTTTAAAATAAGTTATGCATATTTTTGGAGGGGCTTTGGATCTTTTTTTCTTGCTATCAGACTGCAGGTTTTCTTGCCAGTGCGTATCCATACGTTGCTACTTCAAGTATTTTTCCCAGCAGGATGTGCCCACAGTTAAGTTTTGACAAATATATGTTTGCAAATGGTACAGTTGGGTACAGTATAATAATAATTCTACAGAAGTATCTCTTAGAGTTGCACCTATGAAATTGTTCAACAGGTGCTTAAATAAGCCCCTAAACTTTGCTCAACAATTTAAAGCAGTGAAGGAAAGAAGTTTGATGCTACAATGAACTGTTCAATATTCTACACAAAAGCTACAGTACTGAAAAATCAAGCATAAGGCTACTGTTTTTTCATCCACTTCCAAAAAATATAAATTCAGTTTCCCAAAACAATATTAACTTAAACCCCAGCACATGAATGTATACACAAGAGACATGACCAAGTAACATTACAGTAATAATCTTTCCTATTACACATTGAAATAATAAACTTTCACACTATTTCACAAATACAATTTTCTGCTGTAAAACTCGGACACCACAGAGTATTTCCCAGACACTTCTCCAGACCAATAAATTACAGAAGCAGAATATATAAAAGTATTTTTTATCCCCATAAGGAACAAATACTTGTGGCTGTCGCCCTGTGAACCAACTCTTCCCAACTGGATTTCTCTTGAAGTGGACCAGAGCTTCCTCCACATGCTCAAGGACTTGCATTCAGAAAAAAAAAAAAAAAAAAAGTCTGCTGCTGAGAAGGCAGCTCATTCGGTAGATTTGTATTTTTCCCCAACAGGAGATACCAGGAGTGTTGGAATCTTTCATTACGAAAGTGCTAGGGAGCCCACAGGTACTGCTAGAGAGCGGCAGCAATACGTTTCCAGGCTAACCCTTTCTAACCAAATGATTTCACACTTAAGACACCTACAGGAGAAGTCTACTTTAAGTCTGGCCACTAATTTAACTTTGCTTTTTTCAGTCTCCTTGGCTTTTTCTGAAACCATAACCATAGTGTTTCACAGGTGTTTTCATTCCTCAGTCACTTTTTTCACATTTCAAAATCCATCTGTTTTTTGTCCATTTCGACAGTCCTCATTTAGTGAATACAGGAGCATTTAGCAACAGCAAATTAGCACCAAGATTTAAGGATATCAATGTATAAGAAAATATGCAGAGAGCAGTATTGTGAGTATTTGTGATAACACTAGAGATTACTGTAATGCACTACTTCATGCATGCATTTTTTAAGGTCTACCTAGAGCACGTGGTTCCAGGTTTTAGGTCTTATTTTCCTTGTGTGTCTTTATAACAGACTTTCTGCAGCCAAAGAAACTTTCATATCAAGTTCCCTGACTATAAAAAAAAGGGTGTGGGGGGAGGGAAGAACGTGTAATCATTTGCACACACACCTAAGTTAGAAACCTGGTTTATTTGAAACTGTGAAATCAGAGTCCAATAGATAAAACGCTTTAACATCACCACTGGACAGTATATAGGGAAAGCTGCTAAGATCAGACTGCTTCCTTGGTGCCCAAAGCAAGGATGAACTCTGCTATGACGTCCCAGCTCCCCACTCCAAGAAGCGCTGTTATCTTTAGACCAATCCCTAACCGTTCCTCATAAGCTTTCCTGCCAATACAGGCTGCCCAATTCCTCCCTACTGGAATTTCCCTGATACCAGCAGAACTACTCCAGAGAACACATGGCTCACAATATCTAGATTTTGAGAGTGAAAATGAATGCATAAAACTTAAGAATCTTTAGAATGTCCTCACTAAGAGCTCGCTAAACTGCTTCACAAACCAAACTGCAATGTTATAGTCATTCACTGATTTTTAATGAGCTACTTCTAGGCTATAAGACTACACTGCTTCTTTCTCACTGTCACTCTTGGAGAGGAAGGGGAGATATCCCATAAAGGTGATTATGTTTCTTCAACAGTGGTATTAAATGACTAAGCTTTACCAAGTAGCAGATTCTCTCAGTTTAGGTCACTGGACACTACAAACACATCAAAACTCTTTGAAGTGATCAATATGAAAATATCAAGGTTGTATCCAAAATAAAATTTTAAATAGCTTAGAGAACCTCAGGTGAACAGGCACCAAAGTCTGTTACAAACATCATGCCCTTTCAGAAACAGCACAAAAAAATCTTTATCTGCTTTAAAAACCTCTATTGCATAGGACAAAAGTGTGTTTACCACTTTCCAAAAAAAAAAAAAAAAAAAAAAAAAGGAAACCCAAGCATGGGCACATTACCCTTATAACACTGGCACAAGTTCACTGATAGAACAGTCACCTCCTTCTTCTAGGGGAGGTGGTTATGGGAAGCAGAAGGAAAAGCATGAAGTAATAAATATTATAGGTTGCTTATTACAAGTGTTAACCATCTATTAATGAATTTCGGAGGTAATATTTATAAGCCAACTAAAACCAAACATAGCCAGAGAAAAAGAATAATACTAAATAAGGCCTGATTATGGCCTCCAACTCAAATTAACTTTTTGATCAACTTTTCTTAAGTGACAATTTTGGATGTAATCCATAACAGGGAAGCTAGTTTGCCTTGAGCGAGATCATCTAGTCCATTTTTATACAACTCTTATAACTTGCTATAATAGCAGTAGAAATTTGTCATCAGTATATGAATATCATTAGTTCAGGTAACCAACAGTTGGAAGTGTTGACACAAGCAATTCATCCAGTTTGTTTATACAGCGTCTGCCTCAGAGTTGTTCAAGCCACGTAACTAATTTGTCATGGAGGATGGGCTGCCCAGTTACTACCTTATGCAACATCAACTGAAATTATGTATATATACGTATCTTATTTCCATGAAACTTCAGTGATTATTGGATAAGGCTTCTGCAGAGAAGGTACATGCATGAAAGTCGCATATTCCACATATCAAAGCAATCTGACTCTCTCCAAAGCGTTTTTTTGCTTTTAGAAATAAGAACCAATGCTACTGCTTTGAACAACAGATATTTAAACAACCAGGTTTCAACACCAACCAAAGGAGTTAACGATTCTGTTTAGCAAGACCTATTTAACAGATAACACACACAGCCATTTCAAGTCAGTTAACTATAACAGTTTAAAAGGCCTTCTCCTCCTCCCACCAGAACGCCCACCATGGTAGTGCTAGTTAGATATTACAAGTCACCAAATTTAACTGGCAAAGGTATTCTGACTGGAAAAAAAAGACTGCCAAGTATTTTATTGCTACCAGCGCATCTAAAATGGGGGGGAGGGGAGGAATGGATGTAAAGGCTACAATCACTTTCTTCAGTGGATAAAAAGAAAATAGGAAAAAGAACAAAAATTTAGGAGTTAAAAACCACAAATAATCAAATAGATTTTTTCCATCTAGTTTACCTCAGTGTTTTAACCAACATTATACATTTTATTGTTTAGAAAAGACGTTGACATTGCAGAAAAAAATAAAATTTGTTTTTAAACAGGACAAACGTTTTACATGGTGGTATAAAAAAAGTCTCATGGGAGGCTGAAGGGGAAGGAGAGCAAAACACAAAACAAAAAAAATCTACTCCAGAAAAAGTAAAAAGCTAAAACAAATTCCGGAAGTGTAAATCCGAAGGTTTTAGCTTTTCCAAATACACAACTACGTGTGCCTTTCACAAGAACAGTCACAACCGAACGAGACTTTTATACTACTGTAACCCTTCAACAGGCCAGTCTGCAAGTTAAAACAAATAACTCAAGTACAATAAATTGCTAAACTGATAAGTATGCAATTATGGATTGCTTTTAGTTGTTTTAAAAACCGCTTACATATTTAATGGTTCATCTTTTAAATTCAAACGGTGCTTAATATTTTTTAGTTCAGACACACTGAAACCCAGCAGCACAGATGGTTTGTGTTTTTTTATCGCCTTTAAGCATATATTCCTCCTTTTTCCAAAGAAGGATGCAATATCAATTTTCGATGCATACAGCAGTGAAGATAGCAATTCCATCTCTTTTTTAGTAGGATATGGCCTCCTGTTAAAGTAATCTGTCAAAAACTGGTTTTGAGCCTCACACGAATTGTGTTCATACTGCTTAGGATCTACTGCTAGAATGCGAAGATCCTCACTAGAATAAAGTTTCTTCATCTCAGTCCTAGTATTAGTCTTTTGTCGCTTGAAAGGCACTACCCCTGAATTCAGTTCTCTTTCTGGAGATAGAGCTATGCCAGTACTTAAGGTTTGAGGCTGCTGTTCTTTATTCCTTTGGTCTTCTGCAACAAAGCAGGTATCCGATTGTTTTCTTTTAAGCATCACAGAATCGTGCTTTTCACCATTCACAAACAGTAGCTCTTTCTTCTCGGTGCGCTCAAGCTGCATCTTCACACTTGAGTTGCTGTCTTTGGGAGCACTTCTACAACGGAGCAAATGTACAGCAATAGCTGTCAGAGTCATATTTCCAGTGTACACTCCACAGCAGTGGATGCACTTGAAAGCAGGGGACTTTAAAATTGTATGTACAGTTGGCATTATATGATGCCTCTCTTTCAAATGCATTTCATAGGCTTCTTTACTAACAAAGGTACCAAAACAAAAAGGACACGTTAACACTTTTTTGTTGCATCTATTGTTCACTTCCACTGTCTGAGGTTTCACTTTGATGTAAACAGGGACAAGCGTCCTTGAATTTACTCCAGCAAGCACTGCCAGATGTACTTCTTTCTCACCAATGTCTTCTTTTGGTAACACTGTGCTAAAATCAAAGTGTGGAAATACAAGGTCGCCCTGAGCATCATTATCTAGTTGAAATCCTCTGTTGCTGTAATCTGCATGTAATTTCTTTTTCCCATTGTGTGTAATTTTATTGTGCTCCACAAGGCTTTTTAAGTCATGGAAAGTAAGTGTGCAAAACAAGCAAGCTAAACCATGCATCAAGAGATGTTTCATAAGCTCTTCCTCACACAGAAAACATTTACAAGAGAAACACCGGACAGTCTTTTCTGTCATCCACCTTAAAAAGGGTGCGCAAGCTGCAAGTTTGTCAGGTTCCAAGTTTTCCTCCATTTTGATTTCACCATGTTTGTGAGCCACCTCCATGTGCACCTGGTAGACATTTGATGGGAAAAGCTCATTGCAAACAGGACAAGTCTTCCACTGCTTGGCCTGTTTGATAGCCTGACTTGTTTCCGGACCAGGTGGGGAAGCCTGTAAAGATACATTCTGAGCTGTTACAACCACTGGAGGAGAGGGTGCACTAGCTGGTGACTGAGATAATTGCGCTACCGTCCCAGACTGCATCAGCTGGATGGGCATTTGCGGTGGTGTAACAGTCGCTACGCCACCACCGGGAGGTACAGGCAAAGTAACTGAAACCGGAGCAAGCGTGTACGTAGGTATCCCATTAACCTGCTTACCAGTTGGAATCAACTGTCTAAGTATAGGGCCTGCAGTCAAAAAAGCCGTGTTCTGAGAAACAGCAGGTCTAACTGGCTGATTTACAGGGATAACTCCTGGAGCAACAGGCTGATTAAGCTGAAGAAACCCAGGCCTGACAGGCTGTCTTACAGGAACAACACCAGATGCAACAGGCTGATTAAGCTGGAGAACCCCTGATGCAACCGTCTGGGCCACAGGAAGGACTCTGGGACCAATGGGTCTATTCACATTCCCAAGCGATCGGTTCACAGAGAGAACTCCTGGTGCAACTGGTCGATTTACAGGGAGGACTCCTGGTGCAACTGGTTGATTTACAGGGCTAACAGGCTGAGCAATAGGGAGAGGTCCAGCTGCAACTGGACTATTTATAGTACCAATAGGCTGATTAATAGGAAAGAGCCCAGGCCTGACAGGCTGATTAAGCGGAAGAACTGCAGGGGCCACCGTTCTATTTAGGGTCCCAACAGAATGATTAAGAGAAATAGCCCCAGCCCCAACAGGCTGGTTAAGAGGGAGTCTATGGGAAACGATGATAGGCTGCGATGGTGACGGCTGAATATTAACACTATTCTGACCTACAGGAAGATTACTAGATACAAGTGTAACATGTGACGCAGTAACAACTGGAGCAGAAGTTGCATGTGGAAGGCTACCAGAGGCACTTGGAACAGCCAGTGATCTGACTGTGTTTTGAACTGCTTTTGCCTGCACTACGGTCTGGCTTTGATTATTCTGTGGAAAGGCAAGGTGGATGCAAGCCGGAGCGGTAATGGAACCCGCTGTGGCAGTGGCCGGCCCTAAAGAAAGAACAGCCACAGCCATAGCTGGGGGAGGCTTCGGAGCAATATGCATTTGTTTCACAAGTCCTGGTTTCTTAATGTGTTCCGAAATCACAGACCGAAGTTTGTTCTCCAGGTCTCTGTGGGTTTCAGCTGTCAAGACATGATACATTAAAGAATCTTGGCTGTTTGCAGAAGCATTGCACTTTTTACAGTAGTGCTCAACAGAATTCTCTTCACTTTCATCAGGTCTCTGGCCAAAATAGGTGCTTATTAAGTTCTGAAAATGGTTCATCAGCACATGTTTCTTCATATTGTAATACAATGTGTCTGTAAAGTGACATTTTAGACACGTAAAGTTTATGATGTCACTCCTGAATTGTTTCATGCCATCCAAAATGCTGACTGTATAGTTCTGTATTCTCTTATTAGATGAATGAAACATCCGGATATGTTTTCCCACTATTTTGGGATCAGAAGCAAATGCACATTTTGGGCAAGGAACCACCAACTCTTGGTCCATTTCATCTTCATGGTAACGATGCAAGTGATTCTTGAATGAAGTAAGCAATTTTGAAGAGAACTTGCATAAGCTACAGCAGTACGGCTTTGTTCTGTATCTCTGCAAACAAAACAAAAACATCCACTTAGAAACTGCTAGTTTCTAAACTCCTCTTATCCATCTGAAAATAAGTCTGCACTATCAGCTGTCAAAAATGCCTTCACTGGATGTTTAGCATATATCTTCTCAGTTTCATGGAGACCTGTTTTTGAAAAGCAGACTTAAAGATGACATACATAAAAAGGGAGAAACATTTGTGCCCTTTTTGCTTCTTTATGATTTATTAAGAAGCCCTAAGTGGGTTCTTTTCTAATCCAGTTCAGGTAATTACGATGCTAGTTTTAAGAAGGGGAACGAATCACAGAACAAGCTAAGAAGAATTTGTATACCATGGTACGCAGAAGGGAAACCTTAGCAATAAGGAGTAACAGCCCTTTTAATAAGAAGCTTTTAAAATTTTAATTAACACGTAATAGTGCCACCTCCTATTTACTGGAGGAAAAGGGAGAAACTGGAAAAGGGTTTGGGTTTTTTTGTTTGTTTGTTTGTTTTTTTGAATATTTCACTATCCTACCCTTCACTGAAAGCTTTTTAAAAGTACCTCTGCCAGCACAGCCCCAAAAGACTGAACTTTTAAGTAACAGCCAGATTGGTGAGGGAAAGGGAAAGCTAAGTAGCAATGACCTCTTCTTAGGATATCTCAATATACTGGCTATCCCATTACCGCAGTATCTTTAAGAAATTTACTTGCCTACACAGAATTTTTTAAAAATGTTTTTACTGTATAAAAATAAACGTAACCATCTTCCACTAAACAGTGGTTTCCTTCCTCAGTTGTGTCTCTTAAAAGCATAATGTTCATATGGATGTGAAAAGTAATTTGCTCTCTCCAGAAGAAACAGTAGCCCTGTCAACTGTTTTTCTTACCAGCTTTCTAGGAAGTTAACCCTGGTTTCTGCCAGAAACTACAAGACCTGTGACAACAACCTCCAAGTGTCAAATCTGCACTCTCAAATGTCTAGTGGAACGTGTCTGTCCCTTCAAATGTGACTTACATCTTACTGACAGCTGCCGGTCATCACTGACAAAATGCCATCCAAAAGAAATGGCAACCTGTTCCACCACCACAGCATCTAGTCCAAGCTAGACCACCCAATACATGTCCATAGGCACACTAGGAAGAACTGCAGCAATAACTTGTGCATCTATTTGTTTTGTCATTTCATATAGACATTAAGATCACCTAAATTTAGCGGTACTAAAGCAGGGTCCAGATTATACCTTTTGAATTTGAAGGTTAGATTTAGATCAGGTAACGCCACTGTCTGGCTACAGCTAGCGCGGAGTACACTGGAAAAGTGCCTCTGTGTTACTTTCTACTCTTAAACTCTTTGTTAGGTGTCTGGTCTTGGCTATTAGCCAACAGCACCAGAGCAAACTGGAAGTTTCATCTTACGTTGAGTATGGAGAGCAGAGAAAGTCCACTGAAACGACTGAACTAATGAAGCAAACAGTATTATTAAAAGCTGCACTTCGCTAGCCTTACTTCTGAAGAATTCAGGTGACAGTGTGCGACTGCTTTTGTTATTGGCTGCCACAGGCTCAAAAAACTCATTTATTTTCCTATACTGGGCCCATACACTCTGTGTAAGAAAGAGTAAAATGCGAAATGGTCAAATTTAATAATCATTTTTGTTGTTCATTTCTGGTTTGTGTCTTTTTTGTCCCTGCATACCTATATCATAGTTTAGTGTACTGTCAGAATTTCCCTGCTACCAAGTCTGGATAATATAGAAGTACATTATTAAGTATATGTAATTTTGAAAGGCAGTGAGAACACTTCACAAGTAAATGATCCAAGTGCTGAATTAATTTACTATTCCAAAGTAAAAAAAAAAAAAAACATTTTTACTTCTTTTACGAACAGTGCAATATAGTACCAACAAACTGACCCCAATAAACACACAGTGGTAAGACTAGGGGAAATATTTCTTCATGCCTTCTTAGAATATTGGGGGGGGGGTTGATGGAGGTATGAGTGACATAAAACTTCAGGAAAAGGAAAAAAGAAATCTGTTTTAGCATGACAGAAGTTTACTACTTGGACTATTTATGAAAGAGAGCTCTTCCACGTAAACACCTTAATCCTCTGGTCAGCATGTTCTGCTTGCGTTCAGGTCTAAGCTGCTTTCCGTGTTTTTAAGTGCTCCTGCTCAGTCTTCTGTTAGCAGCATCTCAGTTCCATAAAAGTTTGTCAAAATAAGAATTCTAATCCACTTAGGAAAACTGAACTCTCACAACATAGTGTGATCAGCACAACACTAAACTGTACAAATGGAATCCAAACAGGCTCACGAGAGGTATTTAGAAAAACTCAATTAGCCCCACTTCAACAGAACACACCCCTGGACACAGTAACTTTCCAATGTGCGGTCACACATTCCCCATAACCTAGAGACAAACAGAAAGACACAAGAGCCTCTAAAAATCCTAGTTCTTCCAGAATTATTGAAGTCTCTATAAAAATACTACTAATGGTAGAAACCACAGACTAATCTAAACAGAAAGCCTCTCCAGCCTACTGACTTTCTGATGTGACTCAAACAGCTATTTTTCCTTATTGTAACAACTCTGGAATAGAACATCCTGAATGACCAATTTCTTTTCTCCCAAATCTAGGAAGCACAAAGACAAGATAAGCAAAAGATATATTTTTTATATATATATATATATATAGAGAGAGAGAGAGAGAGAGAGATATAGATATATATATAAAGGAAAAAAGGTTGTTTAACAAATAAGCAGGAAGAAACCTAGCACCCAAGAGATATCACTTGGCAAATCAGTTCCACAGCAACACATTATGGTCTTTGCAATGAGGTTCATCAGATCAGGTTCCAATGCTGGCTTTTGGACAGATACAGCTACTATACTCAAGCTGACTATTTGAACCAGGATAAGATGTGTACTTCTCCCTCCTGGCAAGGGATTAGTTCTTACTCATGAATACAACTGCCTTGCTGGTCTGTCTCCAGGCAATAAGGATGAAAGAAAATTCTCTCTCTAGCAGATGACTTGTAGTTCTTTTCCATTTTCACTAGAACAGATAACCATTTTTCTTAATGGATTCCGTCCTTCTTAAAGGGGACCAAAAGGGAAGAAGGGGAGAAATACACATCTTAAGTTTTAGACAGGAAGCTTCACTTGCTCCATCTTTACCTTCCTCTTCCCTGTTCCACCTCCAAGGAGGGTGGGGGGGGGAAACTTCCCATGTTCATCTAACATGGAAGATCTCCCAACAGTAAATTGCTCAGTCTTAAGAAAAAAAGGGAAAGGGTAGCGGGGAGGGGGGGCGGGGGGGGCGAGCAGGGGAACACAAGTTTAAAGTTCAGGCAACATGCTGACTGGAGCCTGGAGACTTGTCATCACCATTAACAGGACTTAATCCATTCACCTAAACTAAAGGCAGTCTGACTGAAGGTAACTGTAAGTCTTATCCGAGGTGGTGACGAGAGGTTAGATATAGCATTCTATAGAAACGGAGAAACAAGTCACATTCAACCCTTTCATCCACAAGTGCATGTGAACAATGAGCCTTCTGTGCCTTCATCGCCTTACAACACATGAACCCAGGCTTAGGAAAGCAGAACTACGACAAAGCAAACAAAGGTTCTACTGGGAGGTAGATATGCTACTAAAAATCAGTTTGGCAAAAAACTGACAAAACACCAGGCTATCCTAAACAGTTATTTCCACCCCCACCCCACCCCACCCCACCCGAAAAAGTGGGCCAGCTGCTGTTTACAGGTTGTTGACAGGCCTTCCTCACCGAGGCAGTCAGAAGCCCTAAGTCTTTTCAGCAAGGTTCAGAAAGACTACCCTTTCTTCTGGATATTCTCCTGTTCTCTGGTTAAAATATATATTAAATTTTGTATTCTGGAGCATTTCTGATAGATACTTTGTTTTGCTCATCTCAACACTGTTTTTCTTGCAAATCCTAGCTTCAAATATTCCAGCCGTAAACATTCAAAGAATCCAGCTATACAAAAAGTAAAAGCTGTTTCGCATCCACAAGTTTAACTAAAATGTTTTTTTCAATGTAACCCAACCCCAAGCCACTAATGACTACTTCTGCTTAATTTACTCACATCTATCCATTTTCACCCTTCCGATGAAACAAAAAGCACACAAGAGTGTGTTAAGACCACACATTAATTTTCTGCCTTTTTCGGCATCATCTAATGACATCTATAATACTGATGTGCAAGGTTTTATCTGTAAAGATTCCCAACAGCATAATACAGTCCTTATTACCAGCTCCATGACAGCAAAGTAAACAGAGGCAATGAAACATTATTCCTTTGCGAGTAGTATTTAAAAAAAAAAAAAAAAAAGGCTTTAAGATTTGTTTTCTAACTACAAAAAGCATTTTTTAGTCATCAGCACTTCTGCAAATGGTAAGAAGCAACAATTCCACATGCATGTCTACCCAGACTTTCCGAGACGGACGGAGAGACATACCTTCCTTTTGCCCACAGACTCCCAAGGAGAGACATCACTCCATGAAGTGTTGCAAAAGTATTTTTCACCTGGGTCAAAACTTTTAAGGTTCTGAAAGAAAAAGAAAACAAGAAATATAGTCTGCTTTTGTAGGCCTGTTTTGAATACAAGAACATAGCCTCGATACAGAGCAGGGTGGGGCAGGGGGGAATCTGCACACATGAAGGGAAGGTCTGCACAGTATTCACTAATGGGTCTCAAAATTCAGTTTAGAGAAACTGCTTCTTTGACCCTTATTTATTTTACCTCAAATACCAGCTCGTATTAGTGCCTCATGTTACACTGCTGAAATTGTGAACACTTCTTTTACTCAAAATAGTGTTATTATTTGCCCTCCTACATTATTTCGATTGCTTCTAGCCAAGTTCAGTGAACACTGGAAGATCCTTTCTCCCTCTACTTTCTTCCTCCTAGATCTACAGCATTTCAGCATTTACTTCCATTTCTTAACTTGCACTATAGATTATTTTGCAACAGGTTTTGGTATTAAGTTTTTGTGCTAGCACTAGGCTTTTATTTGCAAAGGCATTCCCAGAAGCTTATTTCAGGAAGTAGTACTATTTCTTTCAAGCTGTAAAAGCAGTATTACAATTGTATCTGCAGCAACCATTAGAGGGCAAACAACTTTAACTACAGCATCCTTCTAATCAATTCCATTTAAGAGCAGTTTAAGTTCTCCAAGCCAGTCAATTAATACTCTAGAAAGTTTATGTTCCTCTCTATTTTCTGACGCCCATATCTCTGAAGTCCTTAGACCAGCTTCAACAGCAGATTAGACAAATGCCTTACAAATGAAACATAGGCTATGAATTCAGGTTTAACCCCACTGGTAATTAGCATCACTTCTCCCTTCCTCTTCCCCTTCTTTCCCCAAAGTCGTCTTTACTAAACAATCCTGCAAGTTGCTTTGAAGGAGTGAGATGTTTTCAGCTCTGCACCAGAACCCACTGGAACAGCAAAAAATACATAATGAAAACTGTTAAAGAATAACTCATCTTTGAGAGAAGCAGAGTTTGATTTTTTTCTCAAAAAATTTAATAGGTTGCAGTCAAAAAAAACTAATACAGTATTTATGTGGAATTTACAAGCAACATAGGGTACTGAGCAACAAAAAAAAAAAATGAAGGAAATAAAACTTGTAGCAGTCAAACAAATACACAAGCCTATTAAACACAGCCTGTTCACACTCAGCTCGTCTTTATAGTGTGAATTTGATCATCACTGATCTGAGCAAGAGACTACAATGGGCCAGAAAGGCATGACAGTTAAAATTTGATTCAAAAGAAATGCAGTGTTTGGGGTTTGTTTTTTCCTCCCCCCCCACCCACCCTTTAACAGTTTAGAAAGCTGTAGCTAAGTTTGTAATAGGCTTTCTAGCTTTTTCAACCTGGAAGTTACCTCTAGGAGAACCTTGAAGGCCTCAGGGCAAAAAACACCAAACCCTTGCCATTGTAATCAAGATCTAGGTGCCCTGGTTGGGGGTGGGGGGGAGGAGTCATCTACTTACCCTTAAAATAAATATTCCTAAAAATACATGATCTTAGAAAGAACCATTGCACAGAGCAAGAGAAATCCCACAGCCTTACAAAATGTAGTGCTTTTCTTACACTTGATAAAGTTAAGACTCAAGACTTACTAACAGCCTAACAGCCTTCAGCCAAACTTGAAGTGAATTACATGGTTAACAAAAAACATGTCAAAAGAAAAAAAATAATCCAACAACCCAGCAAAGAACTACAATAACTTTTCCTGGATCTCTCCACCACTGAAAGGCCACAGGCCATACACTAGACCTCCAGTTTCCTACGCTCAGGAGGTAATGAACGATCATGGTAGGTCTAGATCTTTTTTTGCCAAACCACCTATTTGTACAGAGAAATATTCATTGGTAAAGAAAGATAATTGTTCTTGTCATGGGGATGTAGTCTGTGCTATGAGTGGCCCATATTCAACTCTTCCTTTAAGCAGAGATCAACACTGATAGTCCAGAAGAAAGCTTTGATTGGTTAAACTGGTTATGCTCTTCCCAGATTTCTTATTTTGGGGAGGGGAGGAGAACAGGATGAAGGAGAGGTGACAAGGCAACAAACCTCTGAGAAGTTTGATTAATCATGATGCACAGTGGGTATTTCTCAAGCTTAAAAGAAAAGTCTTTAGACTCAGAACTGTTTTCCTTCTGCATTAAAACATCACTGTTTTCTAGGACAAAAAGATAAAATGGCCAGAGTCTAAATGAAGATTTACATTAAAGATCCCAGTATGCCTGACAAACTAAACAGTATGCCAAAGGAATACCTGGCACCACAGTTTAATATTGCTATTTTGAGAACCAAACCAGTAGTTTCATAGAAAAAGCTCATCTTTTCTTTCTAGCAGAGTCCAGTTAAGAACTTTTAGCCTATAAACTAATCCTTTTGGTCTCCAAGCTACAAAGGGATACTAGCTGCCTATGAAATTCCTTCACCTCCCTCATAAGCCACTATGACCATGTCTTATTAGAGCACTTTAAGACTGATCTTAAGCTCAGATAGCTAGTCAAATCTAAATCAGTATTTCATACCATTACTTAGTTGTTCTGCCTCAAGAGCACCATGTCCAGAGATCCACCTTGATATTAGAGGGAAAAAAACATTCAGCTGAGCTTGTTCTTAACTATTAGCCATCAGACATGCTATTCTACCAACAGGAAAGACTCATAGGAGACAAGTGTAAAGAAAGTTCAAGAAAATCCCACTATTCTTGCTGGTAAAGTCACACCCAAATAGCCCCAGATTATCTTGAAAACTCATTTTGTGTGATGCACTTGCTTGAGGGAAGTCTTCTGGGCCCACACTTCCCAGAGCTTATTCCAAAACGAACACGTTTGCTGCAGTTCTCTCTAGACCACTTATTCACCATTAAGCCCCATGGTTCAAACAAAGGTGGACTTCACTGCTGCGATCTATTTTATAGCAAGAAAACTAGTATCAGCAAAACATTTTTACTTTCAAGGGTCAAGACAGAAAAACTTCCAGCTTAGAGCTCTAAATACAACACAACATACATAAGAATAGTGAAAACATGGAATTAGACAAATACACCATTCTGTGCTCTCATTATATTTATTTAAATGCATTAAGTATGATTAAACATCGTTCAACTACAATAACCAAAAGTGTTCCAGAATTAGTTACGCATGTAGATCTGAAGTATATTTTCCCTCAATCTTTTATTTATACAATTTTCACACAATTTAAAAAAAAAAAAAAGGGGGGGGGGGAGTAACAGCAAGAGACAGCAGCAACCCTGCAGAGTTAACTCAGCTTTTTTCCTTCAGTACCATTACAGAGAACTGATCCCAGCCCTCGTATGAAGTCATGACCATACCGAGCAGGCAAAACAGCTTGTGCCAGAGCTGGCTGAAAGACTACTGTTTAGTTGCTGAAAGCATGCTACTATGCTTGCACTTTTCTGATATTAGGTTGTCCAGTCTGCTGGTATAAATTCTTCTTCTTTGTTGCACATTACTTTCTCCAGAAAGCGTCCACAATGGTACTACGTTCATCTTTATCATCTCAGTGCAGTTGCACATGCTTTAAGATGCAGAACTGAACTACAACTCAGTGAGCCAAATTTGATATTTTTCCTGGAAGCAAGTTTTAAAGGCCTGAGAGAGATTACTGCATCTCACTGCTCGTTGCTTTTTATAAATGCTGACAATTTGTACATCCTTCAGAGACTTCCCTTTGATATGTGAAGGGAGAGAGTTTAATCTCTTTGAGCAGATGCAAGTCTTCATTTCCTCATGAGTTTAAAAAGGAAAAAAAAAAAAAGTTGTGGTGTAGTAGACAGGTAACATTTTATTAATAGCATTTTACCTGAAGCTGTAGTGTTTCCTTTTGCTGAAATATTACTAGCAGAGAGTATGCAGCACCATCTACAACACATCTTGTTGAGAAATAGTGTTTTAGCACATAACGTTGCCGGAAACTCGAAGTTCCACCCCTAGTATACAAATATTGTGAGACTTCAGCAATTCAAGTACAGACAGTTTTCTTTCCTTTACCTCATCATAAACATCTATGGTAGAGGAATATCCATATATGAACAGTGAAAGTTTTTTCAAAGGTTTAAAATGCAAGTTTCAGATTTTTTACATTACTTGAATGCTTTACCTTCAACAACTCCCTGCAGCTGTCAAGCCCAATATCCACAAGAATGCCCTTCACCTTTTTTCGAGCCTTCCTGATATTATCAAGATTTTGAACAGGAATTTGAAACATTTTGCACTTTTCCTGAAAAAAGAAATATAATGTGATGGAATATTTGAACACAGGCACTTGCATTTAACAGTATTCAAACAAAAGTGTAATTCATGAAAACACATTCTTCAATAGGAAAAAGCAAAAGCCGTAAGCAAAGAATTGGTGTCATTAGTATTTCTTATTAGATCACTTCCTTACTCTTCAAGGAAACAAAAGCTGATGGGGGAGGAAATACTTTAATTTCTTCTCGTCCACCTTAACAAAAATTTCACGTTTCTTCTTTCAGATCTCTTCATGTCTATACAATAACTATGCTTTGTTTCATGCTTTTAGCGAGAAAAATCTGAATATCAGAATTTTATGAAGTTCTGTTAAAAAAAATAACTATCAGTTCATTTAGCAAGGTCGAACACCAACATCTTTCACTTTGAATGTTACAGTGCCAGGATGAGAAGCCTCTGATAATTTCACTTCTTGTCATACACACATACACTTCAAATGTGATCGCTAGCAAAGTTTTTTTTATTTCCTACAAAAGCTTCTGCTGCTGTGAGCAGATACCGATTCGGGCACAAAACAGACTACAAGAAGATTAATACCATTCAAACAAGAAAAAAATCTGTAATTAGAAACTACAACTGTATAGCACTGATAGCTAAATATGCTGCAGTGGGACAAGTTTCCGAAATGCTCTTTTATATTTTCAAATCTCCTCCTCTGAAAAGCTTGTGTAGCTCCAACATTTGGATTTACTTCCTACCTCCTCCAGCAGGCTGTGATAGCATGGAGTTCAACATACAGAAGAGGAGAAGGACTAAAGCTAGATTCCAGAAAGAGAGAACATCTGCTATGGGTCGTCTACTCGAGGGGTAGTTGTGCAGTGTCATGGCCCACCAAAACACACCCTCCCGAGAAGAGCTTAGTGCTTCCAGCACCAAATTCCCCACACAGCTGGGCTGCTATTTGGGTATCTGCAGCTCCGAGGGCATTACAAGCCATACCCATGGACTTGGCTTTAAAGGACCTGCCTTTATCACCTCCTCCCTAGATGACTGCAAAAATGCAATTTTTGCATAAGACTTAAGAAACTTAAATGGGCACAGAATACAACAGAACTGACTCAAAGAGGTCACTGGGAGCTTCCCAGCTATTTCTTTGTTCCTAAATAGTTCACTGAGGACCCAATAGAGTATAAAAGACCTCAGTCCTTACTTCTAAACAAGTCATCTATCCAGGACAAGGCTTAACAAAAAACAGTACTTCAGCCTTGATGGTCCTGAACGCCTTGAAAAGCTCTACTTCTCCAAACAAGGGACATGCTCATTGTCAAAATGAAATCTCACTCTTCAAAAGTGAGACTTTCTTGTAAATAGTCCAGGTTGCAAAATTCCCTCCCAAAGAAGAAGCTACTACAAGCTAAGCCTTGCAAAAAGCAGAAAGATACGTTTTTCTACTCCGCATGCCATAACCCAGTGCACAAAAAAAAAAAAACCACCACACACACACAACATACACATCTGTTAATTTATGCATAAAATATATGATGAGGTTTTTTTTTAAATTAAAAGTCAAAGAACTCACATGCTAGTCTCCTCCTCTTCTCCCTTCAAAGGAAAGGTGTGTAGGCAGAAATGGAGAGGGAGCCCCATTTGACAGACGCTAGTCTTGTTTTCTACTCTTTTTTATTGGTAAAAAGTCTGGAAGACATTCTGATACCATTGGGATGGGTGCAGAAGAGGAACCTATACAGAACGGAATAAATAACAATAACTAGTCTGACATTGTACTGTCAAAATCCAAGCAGTAAAATAAAGTAGTCATATCCTCTTTTTAAATTGAGGTCAACTGGGAATTTGTATCATCTCTGTGGTTGTGTTTTATGATCAGCCCTCTACGATAGTAGGTTATATGCACCAACCCCGTGGTCCAATGCAGATAAAGACAGAGCTGAGAGGATGCCACCATGCTCAGGTCAGGCAGAGGGAGATGTGGTTCAATACATTATAGATTCCATTGGGAACAGTTCTTCTATCTCAGTCCTTTAACTGATACACTGATGCTACTGAAGAAGATGAAACAGTCATTTCTTGAGGCAAGTCTATCTCACAAAACAGAAACATTAGCCTACAAAAGCAGTATAGTACGTCACATCCATTTATTTCAGTGTTTTCTTAACCAGCAACCTTTCAGAAATGAAAGTCATTAATCCAGGAGGAAGAAAAAGACACACATGGAACAAAATCAAGAATCTTGAGGAGAGATGACTTATTTTCCAGTTTTCAAGTAGCTTGTCTTCAATCCAAGAAGATGCATGTCTCCAAATCACATATGAGGTTATTCAACTTTAAACAAACTGCTTGAGAGTAGGGCACAAAGTTATTCATCTAATATACTCTGTATCCATTAGACCAGCAAGGCCCTACCAAAAGTCAAGAAACTTCAGCCTTCTAAGCTTATTTTCCTCAAGCCTTCAGTTTGATATGCTGATGAATATTTTATTATCCATATATTTTTACTACTAATTTATTTCTCTTGTTCTCTTGCATTTTGGATATTTCTCAAGCCTTAGCTTGCACTTTGTTTCCATGCGTAACTACAGCCAACCTTCTGTTGGTACACAACCAACATAGGGCAAGCATATTCAACATGAGAGCACTGCAGCAAAAGCCAGCCAGGGTTACCCTAGCTCAAGAGTCTTGATCCTCTTATCAGTTCGGCTACCTAGAAGACAAATTTCTAACTACTTTCAAAAGCTTTAAACGTATCTTCCAGAAATTGATAACCCACCATGCTTTCAGAAGCAGTACCTTTTAAACAGAACCAAAGCAGGTCATTAGCAAAATAAGACAATTATTGTAGCAGCTGATGCCCCAAATCAAACTCAGTTTATGTGAGCAATCCTAAACAGTTCATTCAATCATTTCTCAGTAGTATTTTATCCATTAATTTATTCCTGCGTCTACTGTTGATTTAGATAATATCTCCATAATGAGACACCTGATTGGAGCTTTATGCAACACAGACGGTTCACTTCATTTCTGCAGAATATATAACACAGAACTACGTTCAGTATTTCAAACACTACCACAACCACAACTCTTGCCCATCCAACAATACAGTCGCGTTTTAATACCAAATAGCAACATAAAAGCCTGGGCAGCGCCTTATAAATCAAATACTACTCGTTCCCCAAGTAACTCTACCAGACTATAATTTCTCTATTTGTGAAAAATACTAATATTTCACTTCTTGGAAGTGGGAAGGAAAAAAAAAGGAAAAAAAAAAATCACCAGAACAAGGAAACCTCCTATCTGCCTTCCTTTCAACCTTATTTCTTTACAATAAACTCATTCATATTGGAAGGCACCTCAGCAGGTAATCAAGTCCAACCTCTTATTCAAAGCAAGGTCAGCAACATACTGCAACCAGGTTACTCAGTATCTTGTCTAGTGAGGTTTTGAAAACCTCCATCAACAGAGATTTGACAAGGTCTCTCAGCAACCTGTTCTGATGCTGGTCAGTCCTCACAATGAAGACTTTTTCCCTCCATCAGGTCAGAAACGACCTATTTTAGCATACAGCCCTGAGGAAACTAGGCATATTCAATCAAATTAAACATGAAGCTGGTATGGAGAGAGGGCATGGAAGATGCACAAACATGCCTTCTATCTGCATGCAAATACATCCAACAAAATCTGACACACAACTAGAGGTCTTTAGGGATTCCTAGAAATTTCAAGACGGCAGGAAGCTGGCTAGAAACTCTATTAAAAAACCCACAAAGACTGCAATGTGACCCTTCTTAGGCATCAGGTAATCTAGGCAGAAGCTAGATTTCAAGATATGTTCATAGAAAGCTAGCCCTCACTAGTCCGTTGCTCAGAGAAGTACTTACAACAGGAAAAGTTATGAAAGGCTTAAAAAGTTTGTCTGTTCATATTATCTGCTTTGGAAATTCAATCATTTCTCATTCTTATACCCTTTCATCTAGTAGTAAACTCTGATCAGTGAGTTACTGTGGAAGGATTTTTTTTTTTTTTTTTTTTTCATATAAAGACTGTTCTACGCTCCAGGATATTCAGGTGGGAAGTATTTTCAAAGATTTCATTGCCAACTTGTATTTCAGTGATTAGCATGAACAATTCTAATAAAGGAGTCTTTACTGTCATTTCAGTATAGTCGTTTAAGCTTGTATGTCAACTGTAATTGACAAAACAGGAAAAAAGTGCTTCATTCCTGAAAATGAAGTGAGAGCATGTAACCTACTAATTCTAAAAAAAAAAAAACACTAAAGAACATAAACACTAAGTGGCAAAGACAGGAGCTACCAGGACAGGCATGCTGATGGACTAGCTAGAAGAATATGAACTCAGCTTACCCATACTGTATTTTAATCTGACCAGTTTTGTTTTGGCCAAGCACCATTCTGAAAGGCATATAAGCCCTCAAAGAAGTCAGACCTGGGTATCTGCATGGACTGTCCTGTTCCCTGGACTTCCATCTTGTGCCTTCTGAAAGGGACCTTTAGGGTTTAGGAGTACCTTAGTACCTTCTATGCTTATGGAGTCTTTGGAGAGAGAAATGCATACAGCATCCTATCAACATCTTTAGATGCTCAAACAGCTTTGTAAAAATGTTATTCCTGGAAAGAAGAAACAGTCAACTCATTAGAAAGGATACTACTCTTGCTAACTATCTGTTATGAATTAAAATTACGCTTAATATAGAAGAAAAATAATCAAAATATACTAACAGTACTTCTGGTCAACAAAATAATATTACTTTATCTTCTTAAATTCCAAATTCTATCCAAGTGGAATTTGACAGAAGTCTTAACTAAAGAAACTAAAGATTTTTTAAAACATCTAAGCAATCAGAAATTTGTAAGGGTATGGAAGTATAGATCTCTTCTAGTGACAGTAACTTTGCTCTTTTCTTGGCTATAAATCACACCCCTGTTAAAACAGTCATATCATCCAGCACAAAGGGGACATCAGTCCACA